GAATAAAGAAATGTGTTTGATTCGAATTTTCAAGTGATTATTGAAATACAAAGTAAAAAAAGTCGGAAAGAAAAATGGAATAGACTTGAATTTTCTAAAAGTAGAATAGAAAATATTGAGTTGAATTACTTGAGTGTTTGATATTGACAATGATAGATTTTCCATTGAGACTCGGTTTTGTCAAAAGATATTTGGTCCACAAAAATTACAAATACTAGGTAAATATCCGGGTTTTTGGCTTATTTATATCCGAACTTTGGGTTAGTACGAAAATTTCTATCTATATTATGAGAGAGTGCGTATAAATACCCGAATTCAATAAAATTAAAATTTTTCTACCCAAACTTGACATAGACATGCCCAATAAATAACGCTGTTAGTTTGGCCGTTAACGGTGCTGACTAGGACGTGACTAAGTCATCACTAAAAATAAAAGACCAGTTGGTTTGAGAATTTCTCCTCAAACCAATTGTGCTATCAGATTATTTCGAACATTTAACGACCCTTATATTAAATATACACATAAACGACTAAATTTTTCTTCACAAAATCTCAAGCCTCTCTTATTGAGGGCAAACCGCCTATTTCTCCATGAACTATGCGACACCTGTCTATTCATACATGAACTATTGAACAATGTCTAAAACCACATGACCTTTCAATAAATTTGAATTTACGACATGATGTCTTAAAAAATGGTCAATTCCCACACAACCATAAATGGAATGAGTTTTCCGTTAACGGTTGCTAACATAGATGACACGTAAAACTTGTTTTTGGTCTGATTTAAAATTTATAGAATTAAACATACTAATTGATTTTACAAAAACAACGTTGTTTTGATCTATTCAATTTGTACTTAAGTTTTTTTTTAAATCAAAACTAAAAATTAAATGAAAATGATTTCATAAAAAAATTTTAATCAGTTAATACATTTTCTAAAATAATTTCTTTTTAAACAATTTTAGTTAATTGATTGTAACTAAATACAAGTTAAAAGTTAAAATTTATTTATCGAGTAATAAAATATATCAAAACAAGTTTTTAACCGCTAAATTCATTGTAAATACAATCAAACCAATGATAAAATAATTTTAAGAATACACATAGTTAAAAGCAATAAAAACAATTTTGTTCTCCTAAAACATTACTCATTAAAAAAATAAAGAAAAAAA